AATCCCTTAGAACTCTATTTTACTTTCCATCCTGGGGCTGTAAAGATCTTCAGAACCCCATAACATCTAAGGATGCTCATTTTACAGCTGATGGCTGATGGCACTGTGGCAGAGTTGGATGAAATGAGTTTTATGATGTTTCACAGTTAAGAGTAGCTCATGGCAGGCTACAGGAATAAAACCACAGGAAGAAACCCTGTCTAGCTGAAATTATTGTCCTCTAAGCCGTATGTGCTGAAAAAAAATCACTATCCACTAAAAGGGAAATCTTTTCTTCTATTCCTTTGAAGCAAAATAATATGCTGACACACCTCTTTATCAACTGATTTTTTTGGAAAGCATTAATTTAAAAAAAAAACAACAAAAAATCCAACAAAAAACGCAAAACAAAAAACTTTTGTGGATCTGGAGTCAGTTCCCCGTAATGAATGCTCAATATAAAAATCTAATAGGTAAAAAGAAAGACATTTATTACATAACAGCTGGCATAAATCTTGCTTCTAATTAGGATAAAATCCATGTAAATGAATCATTACTGTAAAGTGTTGCAATTAGGATTTATTCATGACAAAGGTCTCATAATTATATAATCAACTTCTAGTGTATTAAGATTTATAGTCTGAACTCTTAATTCCATTTTATTCATTTAGAAGCAAAATTTGATAGGGGAGGACTGTTTTCAGGAAGCTGTCTTGCTACATGCTCTAAACTATAGATGGAATTTTATTCCTTTGCAAATACCATCTAATTCTGGTGGTGCAGAAGGCTCAAATTCTGGCAAAAAGAAAACTGTTATAATTTTAAAAGATCTTCCAAAATACTACAGTCAGAGTTTCAGGGGCTTTTAAGTGCCAGGTATTTTATTAAGGGCTTTCCAACCTGACAGTAATGTATGTGTGTGCCTGCACATCTTCTGGGTGTTGTGGAAACAGCAATGGACCAACGTGATAGAAAGGTGCTGGCAACTCATGATTGTCTGGGCTATTAAAAACTGGCTTCTGTGTTTTACCTCAGCCCTTGCCAGGTGGATAGAAACAGCATCTAATATATTAGCAGAGGATTCAGGCCCATCATAGGTCTGGCTGTGAGTAGAGTCTGTCCACTTCTTTGGTGGGTGACTTGTAATGGGGACAGAACTGCTCTCTGAGTCCTACTGTCTTGGGTACAACTGGGGCCCCACAACAGGGTGCTTGTAGCAAAGGCTCAGAAATTAAGGCTTTGTGCTTTCTCCTGGGTGGTGAAAAGAGTCACTTTGTCTGCTGGGCTGGTAGCCTGACAATTTCAAAACCATTACCCAAAACAATTTTAAAAGTTTTGCCAAGTTTCTTCTTGGCAAAGCTGGAAGGCTTCCAGTGAGATGCTGTAAACCACCAAAATAACTGAGGGTATGCTGTGCTTTTGGAGGTCTAATAGGTGAAGGCAAGCCTAGGGTAGACATACTGGATTTGACAGTTGCTGACTTGAAATTGGATTAGATTATTTTTTTTTTCTCCCTCTCAAGTTTTATGAAGTTTGGATTACAATTACAAATTTTCTTGTCTAATTTCTAGGTAAATGCTATTTAATAGTCGATTTTAAAGGGTAATTCTTCTTGTGTGCTGTTCCTTATTCTTGCTTCTACTAAAATTTAATAAAAACAGCTGTGTTGCAGTGATATGTGTCTTTTTGGCTTCAAGAAACATCTTTTAGCCACTGCAGTCAGAACAGCTACAGCATCCTCAGGCTGATTTTAATTACAGAAACATCTGCAAGTATCCCTGAAGCTTGGAGGAGAATTCTACATCCTGTTGCAGGTGGGGTTTTGAACTGATGGCCATCAAAGGCTGCCATCCAACATTGCTGTAAGGGTTTTCAGGTTTTTTTCCCCCTGCATAATGCTGCAGTGCTGAAGTGGCTTCACTACCACAGTACTTCTGTCCCCTGGTTTTCTCTTTAGACTCATGCTGACTACATTGAAATTGTTTGTCCTGCATTCCCCAGCATGGGTAAAAGCAGAGTCATGGTACTTTACCCTGTTCTGTTGTTCTCCTGCATTTATTAATTTTCTGTTATAACAACCCATAAGTAGTTCAGAAGAGCATAGTATCTCCTGTGCTTTATTGCATGAAACGTATCTGATGGTGTAAGCAGTTCATATGACAGCTTCTCAGATTTTTGCAGGTACTGCCACAATCTAGAAGTGGTTTAACCCTGATGTATAATGCTGGGTTTAGGTAACTGGAGAATTTTTGCTTTATTAGGGAATAATATTTCCCTCCATTAGAGAGAACATTCTGATAAACTTTAGGAATGACTTGGCTAGAGTTATTTCATTTACTCATATATCAAGCAAAATCAGTGTGTTGTACTTCTGAACACTAGATCTTCTTCAGAGATTGTTTTTATAGAAAGTAGATTTTCTTTTTCCTTTGATTTTCCTAGAACTCCAGATGAACTCTTTCCTCCATTCCTCTCCCCTCCCCATTTAATTAAAATTTCAAATTCAGGTACTCAAAAAAACATGACCTTTAGTAAGTTTAATGAAGCATGATGAATGCATACCCTGTTTTCTACTCTTTGCTAAATATAGAGGTAGGACTGGGTCATGGTGTCCTTGGCTGTCACTGGTACCGCATGAAACTTCTTAACCAAGTTGAGATCTGTCTTTACAGCTGTAGAAATTTTTGTCTTCACTATTCCAACTGAGGGGGCTGCTCTGAACTTCATTACTTGAATGGTTAGGAATCTGCTTTGAATTTCCAGACTGCATATATGTTGGTGGGTAGTTTAGAGCCATTTCTCTGTCAGCAGTATGGCCTTAAACCTGAAGAGTTATTTCTCTTCATGTTTATCTGTGAATATACTGAACAATGATAATCCTGTCCTTTCTTAGACTGGGTTTGGGCATCTGAATCCACTCTTAGGAGGAAGGCTTTCAGATATTTGTCATACAGTCCTATTCACCTGTGCACAAGGGAGAGGTTCACCATTCTGTATCTGGTATCTCCAGTGCATGATTCCCTTTCTCTGCTGGAAAAACTGGATAATATTTGAGTGCCATTGCAGATTTTATTCAAGATTGCACATTATGTTTTATGCTGCCTTAAGTAGTTGAAATGACTTTGCTGCAGCCAGGCAATTGCTTTAATTGCAACATGGACTGGTATTAACCTGCACTGGGAACTAACCACATTGGCCTTTTTCCCCCTCTTTCTCAGCCTTGTCACTAAATTTTTAAAAAATATAATCAAGTATATACATATTTTAAAATACCATCCTGCTTGATGTAGATTAGCGTATTCTGTGCATGGTCCATCAGTAGAATTTAATTTTGTATTCTGTATTATTTTTTTATTTAGTTGGAAAGACCTAATATTTTTATTTCAATTACCCATTTGTCTGCTAAAAAATTTGCAAGTCTCATCTCCTACTCACCACACAAATTCAAGATTGGAAGAAAGAATTGTCTTGCAAATATTGCACACAAAATGAAGTAGGAAAATGTGCCGAGTTACACGTGTGGTTTAAGAGATGGATTGCTTTATGAAGCCCTCAAGTTAGCCACCAGTGTCTAAGAAAAATCATGTTCATTGTTATGGTATGTGTCAGCTTTCTTGGCAGTTGACTGGAAAATCTTCCAAAGCTTAATCCACATATCACTCTGAATAAATGTCACCTCTCTGCAGAACTATTTCACATATTCAGTGCACTGATGGGAGGGAAGCACACCAGCCTGAGTGGTAGCCAAGGGCTTAGGATCAATGTGTCTAGCAGCCAATGTATAGCTTTTAGGGAAATAAGCCACTGTAGAGGACAGATGTTCTGGAGGACAGGTAGTCAGCTACACGTGTGTGTATATACACATGCTCCTGCCTGTCTAGCTCTCTTGTAAGCTAGTGCACTTGTAACACCACCATCCATCATCCATTTTAGGTTTTTTGCTTTTTCTTAGCAATTTTTTTTTAAATGTTTCTTTCTTCACAGGTTTTAAAACAGCTAGACTGGCTAACAGCTGCAGCTATCTCTCAGTAGGGCTTCAGGGAGGGGATGCAATTACTCCTTCGAGGAGCCTGCAGTAGGGCTGAGGAGCAGTAGAGAAATTCAGCTCCCTTGTCACCAGGCACAGTAGTGGCTTTTCTCCTGGTCTGTATAAATTTGGTCTTTAATAATGTGCAAGCATTACAGCACAGAAGAGATTTGGCACCTTTTGCTGTTATTTACAGTTAAGTGCTTCAAAGTGTTTCACAAAATGTGATGTCACCTCTACTGTGCCTCCTTTCCCTGATGGGAGGCCAACTGCTGTGCTATTGCTGATGCTGAGGTAATTTGTCTCCTTGAACAAGAATCTGTTGCATCTTCCTGTTTTTTTTCCCCCTTCTCCTCTTGTGTTTTCTCGTTTAATTGGGATTCAGAACTTCAAAACTCCTCATTACCATGAGGAAGAGGTGGATTTTGTTCCTTGCCAGAGAGACAATGAGTTAGTCTCCCCTGTGCGGGTGTCTTCTTGTTCCTATGTATAAATTTAAGGAAGTATCAGCTGCTAGTTGCTGAAGGATTGGGTGAACCTCCCTGAGAGCACATAATAAGTCTGTTGGTAGCTGATGGCTCCACACCATTAACTGGAGGATACGTTGGCACTATTTGCCTTTGGAATCTCTCCTTGAGTGCTGCTTTGTGATCCCTCTCAGTGTGCTGGTGCTGTCCTCCGTGGCACCAGCATAGCCAAAGTGTGCTCATGGGCACTGATCTGTGTTTCTTGTGCTGTGGACAGATGGGTTGCCAGGAAGTGGTTTTGGTTGGCAATGGCTAAAGACAGGCTGTGGATTCGTGCAGTACAGCAGCTCTGCTGTATGTTGTAGAAAAACTCACTCTGAGCTGTGCAAGAGTATTTCTGCTACAGTTGGGCTTGACTGCACCACGTGTTGCAAAAACTTCAGGTGTTGTGTTAAGCACATTCAAATGTAACATGCCAATTCCACGACTCTTATTTCTCCTTTCTTTTATGCCTCTCAGGGTGTTTCAAAGATGATCGTATTGTGTTCTGGACTTGGATGTTTTCAACGTATTTTATGGAGAAATGGGCCCCCCGGCAAGACGATATGCTCTTCTATGTCCGTCGAAAACTGTCCTATGTCAGTGGTGATAGTACAGAAGGGAAGAAGGTGAGTTATGATGTATTTTAACCTGGGAAATTTAAGGTAACATGGGATTTGGTGTTCTGAGGTACCTAACACATCTGAAGAACTACAAACCAAAGATAACGAATCTCTAGCTCTGCCTACTGCAAGAAGTTATGCAAAATTGGCCCACAGAGAAATACTGTGGTTGACCCTGTGAATACCAGCAGCAGTATAAGTGAGCTTCACCTCCACAGACTTGAGGAGGTCAGAGAGCTTACTTGCTTTTTTGGGTAGCTTTTATGTTGATCAGCTCGCATTTAGGGGGAAAAGGAGGACATCCATCATAATTTTTGTTTTCCTTTTGAATGATGATAGTTTATATATTGAAAATTTGACTCTGTAGAAAGGGAGGAAAAAAGGAGGAAGATGGACACTTGGGTATGTCTGGAAAAGCCCTTCCTGAGATACCAAGGTACCAGGAACATCTGTTGGGTACTCAGTAGCAGAATACATGCAGCCTCCTGGAGCTGGAATAAAGTAGTCAGAAACAGTGAAGAAATTACTGTATTCCCATAACCTACATTTAAGTATGCCCCACTATAGAAGTACTGCTCCTTGAAAACACATAATCAGGTAGCCTAGTGCTGTTGCTGCTCAAGTATTTTCCCATTAGAGATTTGAGAAACTTCTCAGCATATCACAACAGTTTTCATCTTACCTGGGTGAAATAGAAGCAAAAGAAGTGGTGATTTTCTTGGGAATTAAGGAGATGACTGCAGAGGATCAAAAACAGGAAGGTAAATGGAAGAAGAAAAGACTGGGATTGACTTTCTGACATAAATAATTTACACTGTTGTTGAATCACAGACACATGCCTGTGGTGTGTGCAAAAGTGCCTTTAACCAGGTATACTAGAGTTCTCAAATGTGTTGAAATAAAGAACCATAGTTGTCAACTCCCTTGAGAACAGGATTCCAGAAGATTTTTCCATTTTTGTTGGAGATACAGAAAATGGGAAGAATTATCTTCTTTCCCCCACCCCTCCAAGTTCCATCATGACAACTACTAAGGAGAAGAAGGCAAAATACTGTTCTTTCTCTGTCAGGTTAGTGGTTTAGTATTCTTCAGCTGCCATACTTGGAGCTTCAAGACTTTTGGAGGAAACTTGCATTGTAATTGTTGTTTAAATGACTATAAATACATTCCTGTTTCACATCAGAAAATGCTGTGGCTTTGTTCAGCCTAATAACAGCATGGGTTGTTTAACATCTTGTCCTTCCCAACAAGGAAGGTGAACCTCAGAGGAAGTCTGGTCACTTAAATTCATTCAGACCCCTGATCAATCTCTGTTTAACCTATTAATCATTTTAAAGTGTTCGAACCTCGCATGGAGAGGAGACAGTGAAATAAACCCTTGCTTTTGCTCTCAGATCTTTATTTAAGCCTCCTAAAAGCCTCATAAATATTTTTTTATTTATGAGGGAGTTCCTTAAGTGGTAGCTATTACAAACTGAGGGTTAGTGAATGGCTTGCCGTAACAACTAAAATGGAGAGTGTGCTTTGTAGCACGCAAAGTATTTTTTTATAACTCCTCCTTGACTCTTTGCATTTTGCTCAGCCTCTGGGAAATTAACCTTTCCTGTGAATCTGAAGTACTTCAGATGCTTTGTGAAACTTCATAGTTTGATGATTCTTTGGTATCTGTGTGGCTCTCCTCCTGTTTGGTTTTAGTTGACTGCTTTGCATTTCCACCTCCTCTGGCATCTAATTTTTGAGCCTGCCCTGTGCAGTGAGACACCAAATTATGACTAGAAAAGTTTTAATTTGTGCTTTTGGCCATTCTTTCTTGAAAGACAGTGTCAAAATACCAAAGTCATATTGTTAAAAGGGGAAGAAGGATATTTATAGAAGCCAAACAACTTTAAGCATCCCTGCTACCCACCAAACTGTGTGCTTACCTTTACATCCTTAAAGGTAGACCAAAAAGGCAGATGAAGAGGAGAGGTTCAGAGTTATTTGGAACCATGAAGGACTAGAACTGGAGCTGCACTGTTGGCTCTTGCCTTGTGTACAGGCTGCAGGTTGAATGGTCTGGTGGTGATTTCTCTGTGTACACAGAAGTTGACTATTGGATAACTAGAAGTGGGTCTGTTTGTAGCTTGGGTATACAGCAAAGCAAGTTCATTGTAATTCTTCCAAAAGCACTAAATATGTGGTCTGCATTTGCTTGCCAATTGTAGGCTTTGACTGCTTGTGACTCTGACTCGCTGGCAGACGCACACGTTAAATTGTCATCCTGTGACATCTTGGAACATTAGTTTGTATTAATGGAAATAAGATCTGTGTGGCTTTGAGCACAGTAATCTTCTGTAGGGTGGGTGACAAGGACAACAAAACTGGATTGAGCAGGGAGGGGCTGTTTGAATGCTGACAATGGTGATGACTATTTTCTGAGGTGACGAGCTCATGCAGCATCTTTGCATGGTTTTCATGCCATGGAGTGATGATTCATGTTAGCGAGAAACAAGTGTCAATTTATCAAATGGTTTTCAGGTTTTTATGGCTGTCCTGTATGATTAAAAGTTTTTCCTGCATGTGGGTTTTTTCTGTGCTTACTGGTGCTGAAGAGTGTAAGCAATAGCATTTGATTTCAAGTTGAAGTGTAATAGAGGAAAAACCTGATAGGATCAAGATTAGAGGTTCTGTTGAATTTTAAGGCTGAATGAGAAGGGCTTTAGATAGTTCAGTCAAACAGCTTGAAGTAATAAATCTCACTATTTGGTGTATGAGTAGGTGATTATGGTAAACTTGTCTACCATCTGAAATTTTATTTTAAAAGGCTTTTAAAATCATCTACTTCGTAGACACCGTAGTCTAAATTACTTTACATTTCCTCTCTTTTCCACTCCACCAGCTTCTAAACTGCACATCTATGGGTAAAACATCAAATAAGCTGTTAATAATGTCTATACCTGGGTGGAACTGCCATATTGAATTAATTACACAGACTCTTGCATTCCAGAGAACTGCATTCAATTCTGTGTTTTCTGGGCATGTCACAGTAACACTCTAGTAGTTATTCTTGCCAAGTTTTGAAGATACTTCTTCTCTTACTGTCCTTAAGCAAAACTACAGACCCCATCTGTCAGGATCTGTGCAGTCAGGGCACTGTGGAGCATAGCTCTTCTCAAGGTTATGGGACTTAGTAGGACTTTTTAAAGGTGGAATCCCTTTGACTTGTCCCTCTTTATGCAGAGTTTAGTCAAGACTCAAAAAACCCTCTTCGCTGCTGCCTCACACACCAGCTGATGTGACCTACTGGACAACTTAAGCCCTGCTCCTTGCTTACAAAGGGTTCTATACATTGCCTAAGCATACAGCTTTAAAGTGGTTGGACTTAGGAGTCTGATTTTTAAATGCTATTAGATTAAGATGTAATATATCTGGCTGTTTCCAGTGCAAAAGGCATTTATAAAGGATTATGCTTTATTACAGCTGCAAGCTTCTAATCTTTCTGTAGAGAGAAGCTTTACTTTCTCATGGACTGTGGAAGATGCTAGTATGGTGTTAACAAAGGCAAGTGCCAAATAAGGAAACTATGGTAAAACCTCAGTTATACACTGGCAGAGCTATGTTGCATTAACCTCTTCAGCCTTCCATTATGCTTTGTCATCTGAAAAAGGTACTTTATTTATAGGGCAAAGCAAAAAGAAAGATAAATTTAAGACACTGTTTGTCTATGTTCTGAGCTTGCCCGGATTTTGAAGTTCTGTTTTCCTCAATAGCTTATAAATGTGGAGAAGCAGAGTTGCTGCCAAATGCATAGGATAGTCAGTTAGGCTGTTAAATCTTCAAAAAGCTTAAGCTACAGGTGTTGTGGCTGCAACTTCAAACCAGACTTGAACAGGAACTATGGTTTACACATTTATGTGCATCTCGATCTGTGACACAACAGATATTGACTGTAGCTAAATTACTTTAGGCACATGACTCCCACTGATAATCACAGGATTGTCATAGCTGAATTTCTAATTCACTGTTACCATCTGGCTGGCTGGAAGATTGGACACCCTGAACTCAGCATCTAGCAGAAATGCAAGTTTTAAAAAGCTTACATTGCTGTCGCTGCACCTTTCAGAGCAGGGCTTTTATTTTAACATTGTAAGCCAATGGAAGGTCTCCAGAAGAACTGTTTGGTGTACTTCCTGGCAGTTCCACATCACCATTTGAATGGAACAGAGAAACAAATGGCCAAAAAAGGCTATTTTATTTTATTTTTTTACAAATAAATTCTCTCCTTGCATGTGGATAGTATGTGGGAACAATGACTGCAACACGTGCAAGTCAGTACAGAGAGACAGCTGTTCTGCCTCAACTCTTCCATTGTGCTGAATTCGTGGAGGTGTTGCAGTGAGTAGGAACAGTGGCTTCTGCAGAAGAGGACAGCATCAACACACTGCTCTTGTTTTGAGACATGAAAGAGGAACACTGGCATTACTAGGTTCTTTATATGGTTTTCTGTAAAGAGCTCAATATCTTAAATGGAAAGATTCAGTTTTTCTTTGACAATTACAGATCTTAGAAATTCCTGTCCTTTCACATGCTATTTTGCTGGAGTTATGTGGTCAAAATATATGAACATAAAGGGGCTGCTGCTTGATAGCCTCTGCTCATGTGGTTTTTTGCAAGACCACCTCTATTTTGGGCTGTGACAGACTGCTTGGCAAAAACAAAGAGAAGAATACTGCTACAGGTGTGACAAGAACATCTCTTTCCCACACAGAGCTGGATCTGGCCATCTGTCATAGATGGAATACGCTTGTGACATACCTGGCAGCCTGATGAACATTTGAGGTGGAGATGCTTCCATGGTCTGTCCTATTTGCTGAGTAAATTTTTGTCTGAGGCAAAGCGAAGATGCAGCTGAAACATCCTCTCAAGTGTCACAGGTGGTAAACTCCTAACTCAGGAAGGAGGTGTGGGCTGCAGGGGCATTTTTAATGAACTGCTTTTTATTGCTTCCAGTCTCTGAAGAGGTCACC